AATGAGGGGATATAATGTATAGGCCTGGTGGGTTCGGGGTCTTTCATCTTACATCTGCCTGCGAGCAGTATGGAGGTGCAAGATACTTGAGCGTGTAATGTTAATTTTACCTGTGATCCTTTGAATAAATCAGCACTGTTTTGAAGTTACTTGGACTGGCTTGTCTCTCAGAGTTAGCAATGGTAACAAGAACAATATCCTGCATTATTAAATGTACTATAAAATCTATTTTCTTGAATTCTCCAATAGCCAAAAAGCAAACACCCACACACATACAAACTACATTAACTTACTTGTTATAACATCCTTTAACACCATTCGGTGGAATGCAGCCTTCCCACTGATTCCTCTCCAATTGATTTTAAGTGCAAGGGGATTTGTCATGACATGGCTCATCATCCTCCAAACACTCTCTTTGACATTGGTGCCCCCTCTCAGTGCTAATGTGCTGATCTGGAAAGAACAAAAAAATAAATAAATAAAATACATAGAAGCTTTGAAGGGGGAAAAAAACAAATAAACCACAAACCAAGTTTAAAACTTTGCTAATCAGAATTGATGCATTTTCCAGATCCTGTCCCAAGGTGTCTTCAGATATCTCTTAATTACTGGACAAATTACTGGACGAGTAAATGAGGCAGCATGAATAGAAAGGGTTAGCACTAACAAATTAACATGGGAAAACAACTACTACTAGTAGTAGTAACAGGAGGAAAAACAATCAACCAGTGAACAACCAAACTGAAGAAGAGGAGGAAGAGATATTGGAGGAGAAATGAATCATCTTGGCATGAAGACACCAAGGGATGTAGTATGGTATTCTGAAGAACAGTATGACAGTGAGTGAGAAGTTTAAATGACCTGATTAGCTGAAGAGTTAAAGCTAGGCATGGGTGTGGCAAATAAAGGAGAGTGAGCATGGGATAACAGGGGAAGGGCAGTGGGTGACCAGGCATGGTTAAGTGGAGTGACTGTGGATTCAAGTTACAGAGGAGGTGGTGGGGTGAAAAAGACAGTGAATTAATATCCTCCAGCTTCTGACTGACTGAACACATCTGCCCCAGGTATTTAGCAGTGGACAGGGCGGGGATAGTTGGAAAACAAGCAGGGCTGCAGCTCTTGGGGACCAGGGTTGGCTTCCCCTGTCCATTTTGGGAGAACCATCAGAAAAAAACTAAAACGAGGCGGAAGTGAATCACAACGTTGTCTCCCAAGCAGTGGAAAAGTCAGCTCTGAGCAGTAAAAATATCCTCTAGGAGGTGGCATAATGGTGGACCTTACCTAAGGTAAGTTTAACATATATGAGGCCAGATAACTGTATAAGCAAGAATGCCTCATAAGGTGAGTCTAAATTCCTTTACTGCAGGCAGGTAAGAAAACCTTTCAGTTAATCAGGCAGGTATAATTTAGACGTCAGGAAGCAGGCAGAATTCAGGTAAGTATACTTCATTTCTTTGAACGCAGGTTATGTTCTGGTAAGTAACTTATTCACAGGAGAGAGATTGCGTACCATATAAGAATAATTTGTCAGGTTAACCACAATGGCTAGACATGTGAAATTGGTAAATTGAGGATGAAAGTGGCAAGAAAAGAGAAAAACAAGACCAGGACTGTTACATACTGGAAGGTGCTCTGATTAATTTTGGACCAAGGACACTCACCAACTTTTGCTTTAGGTCAGAACCTGACCTGAGCCGTGCTTCAAGGTCTAAGAGCGACTCCAGATTGTGAAGAGGAAAAATTTCCAGTTCGAGAACATCAACATCTGTGGTATGTCTAAGGGTTAGGGTTAGTCTTTAGCACTCTCTGCAGGCGCTTGCGGTCCATAGCAGTAGTGCTGCCATACCAGACAGTGATGCAGCTGGTCAAGATGCTCTCAATGATGCAGCTGTAGAAGTTGCAAAGGATCCTAGGCGACATGCCAAACCTCCTCAGGAAGTACAGGCGCTGTTGGGCCTTCTTGACCAGCTGTGTGGTGTTAAGTGTCCAAGTGAGGTCCTCACTGATGTGGACGCCCAGGTATTTGAAGCTGCTCACCCTCTCCAC